GGAGCATTCTGGCTGCACTTCCTCCAGGACAGATCTGTTAGTTCTTTTAGCAGTCCATGGTACTTTCAGCATTCTCTGCCAGCACCACAACTCAAAAGCATCAACTCTTCTTCGGTCTACTACTGCCCCAAAATATCTTTAAAACTTAAACCAAACTATTCCCCAAAATCTTCATAAAAACAAACAACAGTTCAGCTTAATGAGTATACCCTTTTAAGAACTATCTAAATGGGATCAAACTGACAACATCAACTCAAATGATAGGAACCTTAGGGTTTGTGTTAATGGAAAAAGAACAGCTAGAAAAGGAGGGTGAGGAATGGTTGTACACCTTGAAGAATGTAATCGATTCAATTTTACATATAGAAACTATTGAAGTGGTGTATGTTTTGCTGTGTATATTCTCAGTAACAATAATGAAATATTTTTTTAAAAAAATCCCATTACCACTGATTCAATTCCAACTCACAGAAACCCCACAGGACAGAGAACTGCCCCATAGAGTCCCCAAGACTGTAAATCTTTACAGAAGCAGACTGCCTCTTTCTCCCTTAGAGTGGCTGTTGAGTTCAAATCGCTGACTTTTTAGTTACCAGCTGAGCAGTTAACCACTCTATCAGGGCTCTTCAACAATTTCAGTAGTCAAGAAAAAGAACTTCAATTACACTGTTTCAATTTGGATAGGTTAGGTTACACAGTAGTAACAAATAACTCCAAAACTCCACTGACTCAATAACAAAGATTTACATTTCTTCAACTACATGTCCAGCACAGGTCAGCTGCAGGGCTATGCCCCTCATAGTGCCTCCAAGACCCATGAGGGAGGCTCCATCTCAATACATGCATCCTCTGTCACCAAGGCTGGGGAAAGAAAGCAGCAAACTGCACACTGGTTCTTAAAACATGACTCCAACTGACTCACATCACTTCTGCTCACACTTCATTCGTTTTGGCAAGGGGAAAGACACAATCCTTATGTATACAGAAGAAGAATAGTCAATATTTAATGACCAGCACCAGTGTGTAACACATATAATTTATACAAAGCTTAGCATTACATAGAAACACCAAATATTAGGGCTAGAAGGTCCCCTTATTAACTGATGTGAGAAAGTAAAGTACAGTAACTCCCTAAATCACACAGGAAGGCAGTCGCAGAGCACCCACCTAAGTCCAGAGTGCTTGTCTCCTGGGTGCATGCTCTTTCCACACTACCTAAAAGCCATCTACCTCCCTATGATAATGTTCTTTCTAGAAGTAATCAATCACTTTAGAAAACAAGATTCTACTGATATAAACTTTGCAGCAAAGTTTATCTCCAGGGATTACTGCAAGTAGATCAGTAGCCTCCTGTGTCCAGATGTATAGCTTTAAAATTCTACTTTGTAATTTGTTTGCTATGCTATCACATTCCACACAGACATTCACTTGCTCAACACTTACGGAGGACCTATTTGCCTGCACTTTGCAAATGTGGCAGAAACAGATAAGCAAAGCCCCACAAGATGGCCAGGCACACTGACCAACACTTAATAAGTCTTCAATATAACTTCCACGAGGTCAGGGATTTCTGTCTGCCTGTTCACTCCCTTATCCCGAGTACCAAAAAAAAGTGGCTAACTTTTTGTTCAACTAGTAAATAAATGTTGAGTTAAAAAATACATTAATGAGAGACTTATCATTGATGAGAAATAGGCAGACAAGTGACACAGACCCTCTTCAACAAAGAAAAGAAAAACCAATTGACAGAGACACAGAAGATAATCCTAGAGCCCTGAGCTCTAAAAGGAACTATACAGAAGTGGATTAGGCACCAACTAGTGGAAAAACCTGAATGAAAGCAGTGACTCCAGAGATGGTCGGAGCCACGGACTGTCAGCTACTCTGATGGGACCAACAACCTGAATATTTCCAAGTAGTGTTGGGACCTAAGAATTGACCTAAAGATCAACCCTGGTCACCAAGGATTGCAGGGACAACTGCACTGGTGGCCTATCACTAGGATGGGAAACAGCAAGGAGGGAGAAAACCTGAGCTGTTGACTTTCCACTGTCTGGAGGACACAGCTATTTTGATTGTTTACACGCAGCAGCAATTTTGGATATTTAAAATGACTGAGGACGCAGCCATTTTAAATGTTTACAAGCAGTGGCCATTTTGGATATTTAAAGTGACCAAGGGTGCAGCATTTTGAATCTTTACAAGTGGCAACCATTTTGGATTTTGAAGTGATAGCATTCTCATTCGGATTCCAGGAACCAAACAATAAGCGCTGTCTGCCAAGGTTGGCAGTGACATACAAGAGGCTGACAACAGGAAAGGAGAGAGGTGGTGAGTGTATAAGTGCTGCCAACTAATGAATAGAGAAGCACAGCACAGTGCTCTGCTTGCATAGATAACATACAAACAAAACAAAGAAAATGAAAATCGTAGGCAAGTCACTCCAACATATAATCACCAATTAAATATAAACACAAAAATGTCACAAAACCTCAGAGACAACAGAGCATCACAGTCCACACAAAGAAACAAGACAAAGTGGTAGAAACAAGGGAGCCGGATACAGACCCAGAACACATCTCTGAGGAAGAAGCAGCA